GCCATAATTATTTCGGTTTGAATTCGGCTAATAATTTATTAAAGCCAAACAAACCGAACCGAACCCGAAAATAAACCGAAATGCCCACTCTACTTTCTTCTAGTGGATGTGAAATTGAATATATAATATGCTTAAAATCATGTAAAAGAAAAAAAAAATCCTTAATATACTATTAATACACCATACACAAATAATTAAAAAAAATGATTTTTTAAAAAAAAACATAAAAAGGAAAAAACATAGTTCAGTTACCTGCAAAAACATGAACCATATATCATAATATATAATTTAGTCCGAATATCTAAAATGATTTTAATAGTCTAGAATTTGATTTGTTTAGATTATTATGATTGTCAATGAAATATAAACCTATCATTTATCGAGATATTTAATAGATTCTATAAAATGTTATATTTGTATGTTGTTTATTATTTGTTTACTATTGCGTACAAATGGGCAATAAGAAGCAAGTAATGCATATAAGGAGTATATAACTATTTTTAGTTTATAAAATGTATTTGATAGAAAAAAAAATGTCATTCTTTCATCACTAAAAACACATTATTTAATACTACGAAAACATAACCTACCTTTGCGTCATTGAATGATTGAGTGTATTAGTTTCGGCTGCAATTGAGAAAATACAAAGCAAATGAATATACCATAGTATTAATCGTACCAAAAAGTAATAATGAAAATTGAAGACAATAATATGTAATTAAAGGAAAAAATTAATAAAAAAGCTTACTTGAGGGTGATTTAGAGACAAAGAAGCATGCAGCAATGACAACATAACACAAAAGAAGAACCAAGCCTTTCATATAGTTCGAAGTCCCATCCTAAATATTTAATCATAATGTAATTAGATAAAACTATATATTATACAAAATCCTCATCATCCAAAATATCACATATTTAACCATATTGTATATTAAAAATAAAATGAAATTGCACCTGCAATGTGAAGGATGTCACGAGGATGGCCAAGGCAAGACATGCGGTCTCAAGGAGGTTAAAGTTAAGGTCCATTTCTATTCCCATGATCCATGCCACTAACACTGTCACTGGTACCTATATAGATTGAAAGTTAAATTTCTCATCAAATCTATGGCGCCTCTATTATTGAACATAAATTTATACATAAAAAAGAAATGCTATAAGAAAATGTTGTAAACTGTTTACTTTTTATTTCAAATAAAAGCCAAGATTGATTAACTTACTACGAACAAAGCGATTTGTGTTGCAGACCCAAGAGCAATTCCCAGAGTTATGTCCTGTATGGAAAAATAAAAATATATAAAACGATTGTAATGTAAATATTTGATCCCATAATAATAATATGATTTTATTTGTTGTAAACGTACGAGTTTGTTACGGAAGGCGAAGATGACAGCACCAGCATGTTCAGCTGCATTACCAACAATTGGTAACAGTATTATTCCTATGAATCCCACTGATAATCCCCACGAATCTGCTGCGTCCTGTACGTACATATATTTACATTTAGGTTTTAACTTATTTAAGATTTTTNTTTTTTAAGTCAACTTCTAGCTTTCTTTGTCACTTAGCAATTTGGTGAACTTTCTTTAGCTTCTAAATTTTCAATATACAATATAAAGTATAAACACACCTGGATAGTGGAGACGAGATAGTCAGAGAGCAAAGCAACGAGGAGTGTCATTATAACAAGCCAAAAAATCGCACTCCACATTCCAATTACGGCTTCTTCTTCTGCCTTGTCACTCACGTCATCGTCATACACATCCTCTTCTTCTTCCCTCTTTTATATATTTCATAGAACCAAACAATTAGATATAAAGAGCATCACAAAATGATAAATATTGTGAAGAGTTTT